AGCGGTTCAAAGAGAACAAAGGGTTAGATAAGACACACTTCAGGAAGAGACTCAGTTGTGGAAAACAATTATTCACGATGCAGGTAAGCTGTGAAAGCACTCTGCAGCTGAACTCTGCCTGAAGGGGCGATTTCCTGGCAGAGCAGCCCTGTCACCTCCTGCTGATGCAAAGGTGTCTGGCAGCCACTGGGAACAACCAGGCACCACTCTAAGCCACGCAGGACCATCCTGCTGCAGAGTCTGAAGGAACAGAGCTGCAAATAATTTAATTCAAGGAAAAAACGTTGCCTAAGCGATGCGTCAAACTACGTCTTTGGCCATTCTAGTCAACTTGGCAGTACTCTGATGAGACTAAAAAGGTAGAATGGCATTTGAGGCAGTAATTACAAGAGAAAATACACTGGGAAACACCAGATAACGCTGCCATATGACACAGTTTTAAAGAAAATCAGCCAGCAAATTGACAGTGGTGCATAACATCAATTTCTCTATCAGGGCAGTGCTGGGAAGTTTTCTAGCTTAGCTCACACATTCTTTCCTTTTTCATGGCTCCCTGTTTTCCAGCTGAGCAACAAGTCCAGTGGAACACCATGCCCTTTTGAAGAGCTGGAAAGCCTCTCACACAACCAGTCCCCAGGAAACACAAAAAAAGTAACTGTAAATCTGCAAAATTAATGAACAAGCATCCAATGCAATGACAAGATAGCAGCAATACAAGGTCAAGGTCGAAAAAGAAATGCAGTCACTCCAATGTGCTCTTCTATTTCCTTCCTCTCCCCGTCCCATGAAATGCCACTTGTGTTCAAGCTACTTCTGCCACTGTAGGTAGGAACACCCAGGGCACCTCTTGAATCGAGTAGGAAAGCTGTTCCTGGCTCCTGACCGCTGCACAGTTCCCTCTGCCTGCAGTACAGGAAGAACATTTGTGTTTTTTCAACCCCCCGGTCTCCTCCCGAGATCTGCTTGTGTGGAACCAGCTTGTCTTATGCTATGACCCAAACTACAGAAGTAAATCAAGTGCAATACAGTTTGTATTTACAGCTCCATACAGGCCAGAGGGCTAGGCACTCTCAGACAGATGTATAAGCACTTATGTCCTCAGCATACAGTGTTTTTGTCCTGTACAACACAAAACTAGAAAGGACAATGTGTAAAGAAATTACAGAAAACAGCTGCTTAAAAGAACAATGAGCAAGAGTCATCATCACAAGAGAAAGAGGCAAGACTAGGATACAAGTGACAAACAACAAGGGAAAAACTGGGGACAAACAGGAAGAGCTACGCAAGGAGTCAAATAATAAAGATGGGACAAGATGGTATTAGTGAAGCACAGGTGAGACTTCTACTCAGACTTGAATATCTCTCAGTGGAGAAGAGAGAAAGAGGTGACAGGATGTGCTGGGTTACTTACATGGGGCATAGAACATCATCAGAAGGGGTTTGTCCTCCTTCTTTAGAAGCCTTCTCAATTCCTAGTGAATGAACCAGAGAACATAAAAACAGATCTATACCCAAGGACACCTCTTATTATTTGTGTTACAACTTTAAAAAAATTAATATATGTACTCATAGAATACAGCCTTATTATCTGAGGGAAGAAGGGTCACCTCTCCTAACACACAAGACTTTGCTTTCTTCTTCTTGCTCAAGTTTAACTTGAAAGAAGATGGCAAAATTTATTATAGATTTGAGTAACTGCTAAATATCATACATCAGTAGCTTCACTGTGAGACATGGAAATTTCACGGTTTGGTTTATTCTTGCTGCAGAATCTCTGACTGGAAACTTTTCTTCCCTGACCCAACCAAAAAGCCATACTCTAATTCAAAAAGTCATACTCAATAATAAATAAACCAAGTTCAGCTTCCACACTGTGAAGCCTTGTCAGATCTATAAGAAGCCATGAGAATATATTTTTCAGTACCAGCAGGACAGAGAAACCAGATTAAATTTTCAAATTGAATGCAACCCTTGGAAGGCCTTTAATAGAGTACAGAGGGTGAACATTAAAAATTAATCTTCCTACAAAAACTGAATGTCAAAATAACAGTTTCTAATATTAAAAATGAAAGCCAGAAAATTGAAAAGGCCCTTTACAAAATACCAGCTAGAGTCCAATCAATTAAAGTTTAAAAAAATCTATAGACTACAAAACTAATACAGAAGACCAAGCTGATTATATCACAAAGAATATAATAGGTAGCTCTGTGGTGACACTGGTTTTTTAAGGTAGTTTCATCATATTTGCTGCTTTCCCACCTGTCTCCAAGAGGACAGTTACTGTACAAGGTTTATTCCCTCAAGATCTGGATCCTGTTCCTTCCTGCTCCAGACTTCCTGAGACGACATCAGGCAGAGGAGGGAACCCAAGGTTTAACAAACACCTGCAGTTGTAAGAGCAGCTCTTTACCTCCTACTCACACCCTGCAGTGACTGCATCTTGCAAGCTGCTGCACTTTCCTGAGGCAAACAGGTCTCTTCTGCCACACCATCCACAATGCTTTGATACTTGCCATGTTGCTGGTAGACTAGTATCATGAACACATTCAGGGGAGCAGAAGGTGGGGAAGCAGGAGACTTTACTCTATAGTTACCACAATCCATAAACTTTGTGAAGTCACTTAAAACAGTCTGGTTGCTTTAAGCTTCCCTTTCAATGAAAAGAAACAATGTGGCTTCATTAAGACTTAAACATACACACTCTCCCCACATATTTATAAAATATCTCTCCAGCTTATGTACCTTTTCACTGTCAACGTGCACAACATCTTTGGCTTCAGGATCCTCCTCCCACAGTGGAGCACCTTCTGGATCCTTGAGAAAGGCCACAATAGACTGGAATAAACAGAGAAAAAAAAGCTTTTAAAGGAAAATTAATGGAAACCATGGAAACCCAATCTCAAAACCATGCTGTCATGCAAACCTCATCCAATTAGTGCCTTTATTTTTCTGCTCATATACTCCTCTGCTCTAATGCAGACGAACACAAATCTCCTGTTGCAGAAGCAAGTGATGCACTGGTGTTTACCTTCCACATAACTGGTATCCCAACTTAGCAGTTCCCATTTTCACTGTAAAACTGGAGAAAAGAGTGTGTAAGACACAAGTGTGTTAGGCACAGACCTAAGTGTTAAGGAGCCTTCAGACAGCTTTTTCAATGGTACTAGATCTGCAACACTTCCACAGCTACTCTCTGCCTTAGCAGGAAAGATTTCCCTTTATGCAGAGGTCAGCTTCCCATGCCCTTCACCATATCGGAATAACCTCTGAATCCAATAGGTCTAAGTTGGAGGCCACACTGATACTCACTGTGAGCAAAAGCAATGAACTCCACACTTAAAGATCAAACTGCTTATTTGGTCAAAGGAAGAATAATCCACCCATATTTCCCCCTACGATCCATCTACCTAGAAACAGCCCTCAATGGATTTTCAAGTAGGCAAGTAAGAAGCAAATGTGAAAAGAGAAGTGGGAAATAGGAGAGCCTGTGGTTCTGCAGCTTCCATATTCAGCAAGCTGAGAACACACATATACATACTTTGTAACTACTTTACCTGACTGATATGCAGACAACAATCTGTTTCAGCAGACCACAGATTTTTCTTTATCATAAGGAAATATTCTCTAATAGTTCTTATTTCAGCCTGAGGGAAACACCAGCCTTTCAAAGTCAATGAGACACTCTCCATGGATTCCAGCAGAGTTGCACTGCCCCCCATTTCTGGCTACACAGGGAAGCACAGGCTTGATCACTATTATCTTCAGATGTCTGTGCTTGAGGAAACAAAATACTTGGTATTCTGTGTTCATTCAACACTCAGATTGTCCTAATTTCTTTCTCTGTGGCACTGGTTGAAGGTATGTGTCCACTCCCAGGCAGGATCTCTGCCACACCAGTGACACAGTGAGGTCTCTGATGAGCTCCCTTCAACATGAGTGGATGATGCTGCCACAGCATGTACTGAACTTACCTCGAGTTGGAGCAAAGAAAAGCTTCACTGAAGCCTTTTTCAATTCATGGGCTATTTTGCTAAGGCAGGTCATGACTGAAAAACAGAGCTGAGTATATCCCAATATATGTCAAGAGCACACATCTAAAAGCCTAGGTTTGTACTTCACCTTCTCAAAAGCAGGTTAGCAGCACATCTGGTGATATGCCACAGAAACAGCCTTAGAGACACTTTTGCCACCTCTCTGCCTTTGGTAGGGCTGCTCTGGTACAACATCCCAACAGCTTAGCAGATAGTGGAACTCAACTCACTTTCCTGCATCTCAGTTGGTGCTGCAAGGCTCAGGAGGATTCAGAGCTTATGGCAGGATCCATTTATTGCATTTGTGTTTCTGTCTACTTGCACAGCTAACACTGAAGAGATTTTGTCTTATCAAAAGCAGCAGCACATATTAGTCACTAGACAGCACGTAAGGCATTTAAAGTACACAGTAACAAGACATAAGGGGTGAGGCAGTAGTTTTGGGACAACAAACACTTAAAGGAGAACAAATTTGTTTAAAGATGACATTAGCAGAGAAAAAGATAGCTAGGAAAAAAAAATAAATAAACAAAATCAGGCAATTTATAATGGAGTTTAAGTTGTAAAAAAATCAAAAATCAAAGGCATTAGCATGCCAAATGATGCCCTAAGAAGATTTAATAATATATGGGGAAAGGAGAGAAGAGGACAAAACAGCAGAGATGTTCTACATTTAGGAAAGCTACATCGAGTTCTGCTCGCTCTCAGTCTGTGCAGACCCCAACACTGAAGAGAGGAGAGAGGGGTCAACATTTTAAATGGCTAATGAGCACAATTGATTCTGCCAGTTTCAAGAATTTCTGTGTGCCAAGTTCAGTCATGCAGAAACAGATGTGGTTAGAGGATGGGGAATTAAAGAGATTTAATTCATCGAGACTCTCCCTCTCAGCCAAGACAGAAAAAATTAGATGTGTAATGTCTTCTGGCAGCAGCAGAGAGTATGTTGCCTTCCACTCATTACTCTATGCACTGAAGAGAACTTCCTGTGTGCCTTTAAATATGAAAGAAAGCCCCAAACAAACCATAGCACTTTCTAATCACAGAAAAACAGTGGTCCACAGGCTGCTAGGTTAGGTATCAGAGCACAGCCCACACTGAAGAATCAGCTGCGCTCTTGTCCTGCCATGATGTGGCAAGGACCTACTTCGACCCTGCTGCACCAACAGAGCCACACTGAGCTGTAACCCACTGCTCAAACCCTTGTCACAGCTTTGATTCTTAAACACTAATTAAGCAGAATACAGGACACAGCTTCATCCAGCCTATGCTGCTAAATTCAGCAAATTTGCTATCCCCTCATCCAGGTCATTGATGAAGATATTGAACAAAGCTGGGCCCAGTACTAACTCCTGGGGAACACCATTAGTCAGTCCATTTCCTTGGCTAGTACTGAGCAGATTTGTACTTTAATAAGTTTTCTCCATTTTAGAAGGAGAGTTAAACTCCCCCTGTACTTCATCCTCCAGAAAAGACTTCATCATCTAATAAACTCAGTCTGGAAACTGGCTTTAGGGCACTATTGAGGATTAGGACATGGCATAGTTAAAGCAACATATATTGAACAAAGCTGGGCCCAGTCCTAACTCCTGGGGAACACCATTAGTCAGTCCATTTCCTTGGCTAGTACTGAGCAGATTTGTACTTTAATAAGTTTTCTCCATTTTAGAAGGAGAGTTAAACTCCCCCTGTACTTCATCCTCCAGAAAAGACTTCATCATCTAATAAACTCAGTCTGGAAACTGGCTTTAGGGCACTATTGAGGATTAGGACATGGCATAGTTAAAGCAACATATGAACAGACATATCAGCTAAGATCAAAGACTGATCTAAGCTTAGGTCTCCAACAGTAGCTGACTTACAGATACAGACTAAATTCTTGTACAAAAAGTAGTTAAGTTTTTGGACTCTGCACCAGTTGTTTTATTTGGACCCTGTGATTGTTAACTGTCAATGGATCTATCCTTTATGACTATCTAAAACTTTTTTTAAGATTCCTAAATTCTTGGCTTTCATAACATGCAGCTAGTTACAGGTTCCACAACTTCTTTTTTAACATTGCATTTATTTGTTTCAGATCAGCTGTTCCAAAATGCCAATGTTTGCACCCAAGTTTGGAGAAAAAAAATAGGTAATCATTCCTTTTTTCAAGGTACTCACAATTACACAATATCTATCATAATCTCCTTCAGTTGTCCTTTTTTCTAAGCCCAGGATTCTTCACATAAATATCCAGGCCTCTGTGCCTCTGATCATCCTCAGTGCCCTTTGCAGAACTTCTACAACTTGCACTTGATGGGGCAACCAGAATCACATACAAGACACGAGACAAGGGAACCCAACGGTGGGATAAAATTTTCTCTTCCATTCTCTGTTCCTTTTCTAAACTTTTAACATTTAAATACTGTTAAGCACAGGGCCAATATTTTCAAGTCAACTATTGTCCTGACTGGCAATTCAAAACCCATTACAATAGTCTACATTACTCCAGCATAGTTGGAGCTGTGTCCTTTCCTTCACTCTCATGTTCATTACATTGCAAGTTCCTATTTTCACATTGACAAGCCACTTGGCATTGTGAGAACCTAAGCTATCTGCAAAGAGCTGGAAATATTTTTAACTATTCCTAATAATTTTACATCACTATGCTTTGTTATCTTACAGTCCACCTCCCTTGACCAGATATCCCAGACAGCTCAGGTCCTAGCACAAGTCTCAACAGCAGGAGGTTCTAACTGCTTACTAACTTCCCCCCACTGTGAGCATTGAGCTCTCCTTTATTCCTCATTTTTCTAACAGGAAATCCACATGGGCATCTCTGCTAATTACATAAGGATTTAGTTACTTCAAGAAATGAAAAGCTTTTCTTAAAAACCCAAGTACACTATCAGCTGGCTCAGCCACATCTATGAAATTGCCGATTACTTCAGAAGAATCATTTTACAGTTCTTCAGAGCTGTGTCTATCATTCTCCAAAATGTCATACATGCATTAATATGACTGCTGGATGCCTGGAAAGAAGATCTGAGTTTTATTGCCACAAGCTTGCTGAATGATGTGAAACAAATCCTCTAATCTCCCTGTTCTTCGGTGTATCCACCTGTATGTAAAATGGGTATGAAACCCTACATGATTGTGTTGCTCTGCTGCTGCTCATTGTTTGTAATGTACTGGGAGATTCCTGACAAACACAGCTGAGAGAAAGAAAGGCCACTGCCTCAACAGAAGAAAATAGGGAGAAGTGGAATAGAGGGAGAAAAACAGAAAATATTCTGGCAGCTATGAGCAGCAGAACAAGTAAACACTCAGCTGACTTCCTTGACCACTGCACAGCTCTGATGCCCTGTACAACCTGTAAATCGCTAAGCAGCTGGTTTCACAGGGGCAGCTCAGTAAAGACTAGAACTCCTAGAGGGAGGGAGCTTCAAAATATCTCTTCAACCCACACTACAATTGCACATCCCTGTTCATAGGATGCTGGTTCCTTCACCCATGCAGGCAGAGCAAGAAGGAAGGGGGAAACGCTCATCATAAAACAGCAACTGAAGGAATAAATTGTATGGTTCCTGTTGTGTTGTGATTGCTTCTCAGCCCCATACTCCTTGGGGCTCTGTGGGTGCTTTCCAGTTGATCTGATCTGTAAGGAAGACTTACAGACTAATTCCTGCTTGCAGGACTTCATGAAGGGCAGAAAAGACATTTAATGCAGTGTTCAAACCACCCAATCTGGGCAATTAACAAGTCTCCCTCACCCTACCACCCCACCAAGAGAGAAAAAAAATTCACCAGGTGCATTTCCTAAGTACAGAAGGAGCCTCAGACACTTGCTGATGAGGCAGGGTATCCAACAATGCTCTTTCTAATGCCAGTCAAGATTTCTACTGTAGGAGATAGGAAGATATACAGTCCTACTCTCCCCATCTCAGGCAAATCCTGCGTGCCAACCCCAAGTGCAGGCTGCATGGAACTTTGGCTGTAAAAGGAAAGCCCAGAGTTAGCACACTTAGAAATGGCTACTCTGAGAGACTCAGGTTCACACAGCATCTCTCACAGGCTTTCCTCCATCCCTGGCCAAACCTCTGAATAAGCCAGAAAGGGGAAGTAAATGTAATTATTTCAGCCTGGGGTGGCGTCATCAAGCCTCCACAAGACCAACGATCATGCAGAGCTGGGTTTGCTGGAGGAGGAAGAGAAATGGGAAGTGGACATCATAGCTGGGCAGAAGAAATTTCTGGAAGCCAAGTCATCACAGGGCTGCAGCCTCATGTGAGGATACTCACAGTGCTTCACCAGGGCTTTGCAGAGGAAGGCTGCATGCTTTTGGCCTGCTTACTGTGCTTTTAGTCCACCATTTCCACAGTCACCTCCATGTTCATTTCCCATTTCATGTCCTCTTCCTTCCATTGCCTTCACAGAATGTTTCTGTTGCTTTGTGTCAAGGTGTGCAGGAGAAGGAAGGTGGTTTTACCCCTGCTCAACTCAGGGCACATTCATAGCAACTGTGGTTCCATAATCCAGTGAAAAACAAGGCCACTCTGCTCTCCTTTAAAGTTTATAAACACACAACCTAAAAACCTCAGAGAACTCCTTATTAAAATGCTGTATCAGCTCATACTTTTAGTTACATTGCCACTAATAGCTCCTTGTAATGAAAACAAGAGAATCTCTATTTATTGCCAGCCTGCAATCTAACTTACAATTTACATCACAGTTCAACATGGGTTCAATCTTTTTAATAACACACAGTTTTCCTGGATCTGTGGTTGATAGACACACTCACAAAAACCTTTAGGTCATTCTGACAGCTGTTTATAAAGATTAACCCCCTCCCTCTCATGCCTTCAGCATGAAAAAGTACCAACACCTGTATTTAATCCACAAATGTCTCCCCTATATCTAGGAGAACTAAAAGAATAATAATAAAATATTTAAATTTACCTTCAATGTGACCGCTCTGTTATATTCAGTATGAAATGCACCATCCCTGTTGAACAAGGAGTGGGGAATAGCGTTAACTTACAATAAGGCTGCTGGAAATCATATAGCTGCTCTCCCTCACTTCTCACTAACCAGAATAAAATTATCCCATTGAAGCCAGAGAATGAAGCAGAATTTACAGTACAGAAATTAAAGGGGGGGAGGAAAGTAAGGAAAAAAGAAAGGCGCATAACAGAGTGTAAAGCAAACAGGTTTACATTAAATAATTTCCTCCCTGACACTTTAACAAGAATATTTACTAAGGCATTATCTTTGGAGATGCAGATGCAGCTGCCTGGTGTCTCTTACACTTAAGAGCACTCCCACTCCCATTATTTCCAGGAAGAAAATCTCTTGCTGTCTCACTACACTTGTCTTTCTCCACTTACTTTATGAAGTACTACCGCGAGTCAGAAAAACAAGCAGGAGGGTGAAGTGACTTGCCCGAAGCACATGCCAACATAAGTAAGGGAGTCCAAATCTCAGGCATCAGCCCTGTGCACTGGGTAGTTTTAGTCCATTTGGCTCCCAATTAACTAAATGGACTCCCAGGCCCTGCTCATGCTCTTGGTGTACTCTGTTTAACAGTAGAATAAACTTAACCCAACTTCTGTCAAAACACATGCCTGTAAACTGAAGAAACAGAAATCGATTTCACAAGTTTTCATACTGCAGCAGTACAGAGCTGCAAGAACTAATGGTCCTAACAGGGGCATCAACAGTAAGAACCACAAATCCCAGACCAACACTCACTTATAATGGAGCAATTCCACTCCTTTCTCCTTTGAATTAGGATTTACTTTCATCTTCTTGCATAATTTTCGGCTTTCAGTATCACTGCAAAAAACACATATCGGAAGAAAAATGGTTACCAGAAAGGAAATCAAACACATTCACTGCTGAAAACTCATTGCTATGCTTCCTCATCAGCAATTAGTTGCAACTAACAGTAATTTGGAAGCTGCTCAGCTAAGTTTGTGGAACAAATATTGTGGAAAGTGGCATTAGCCAATTTAATTTCTCCGTTTGCGTTGTCAGAACACAGTGAACTGTGTTAAAATGACATTCCAAAGCCAGGCCCTAACCAATGGTAAAGGAGATCATTCTGGCATGTCCAAGGACTCAGCAGATTTTCTGCCTGTGGGATTAACACTAAATTTAGGAAGTCAAGTTTACAAGAGGACCAAGCTACTCTTAGGGCAATGGTAAAAAAGCACTGTTTGTGAAAATATTCAAAGAGAAAATATGTGGCAGAAGATAAATCAGAACTAAAAAGAAACATCTTCATGGTATCTCCAAGCCCAGATCCCAAGTGGCTAGCCTTAAAAATGTCCTGCAGAAACCAGATTTTGAAGCCCCAAGTCCAGCAACCCCATTTACTCTAGGTATGAGAAATGTGTCCTGGGGCCACATTTGCCAAGTGGAGGAAAGGACCACAGCTCCTGAAGGAGGCATCATGTAACAGCACACAGACTTGCTGGAGGTGGTTTTCACAGTGAATGAAACACTTTCAGCACTGTATTAGGGTGAGCTGAAGAAGAGAGAAGGGTCATGGGAGGAAAATTCATATACATTCTCTTAGGTGGGCAGATAAGTGGTCTGCATGGTTTAGCTGCTGTCCTAAACAATGCAGAAGTGAAGCTATAAGGATTCTTCAAGATGAAGTGAACATGAAGTCAGTCCAAGACCTGGAGAGGAGAGTGAAACAACACAACTACAAAGAAAAGAGGATGATTCACATTGACAAGACTATTCTTTGCATTGACAAACAGCTAGATTAAAAAACTTGGAAGCTTGTTTCCAGAGGACAAGTTGTACCTTTTATGCAGATAAAACAATTTAGAAAATGAAAACACTGAAAACCCATCAAGTTTAAACTGATTACAGCCACATTAGAGACCCTGAGATGCAAGGGTGGCAAGAGCCCCACCAAATTAGGTGCTGCTGCTCCCAGTGTTCTCCAGCTGCCTTCCTGCAAACATGAGGAACAACAAACAGTAAGTTTGCAGTGTGCTGCAGATGAGAGTCTGCCTTTGTGGAAATTCTCTAAATGCTTATTGGAGATGGAGATGAGGAGGGGGTGCTACAGACACATGCATCAAAATCAGATTATTATCCTGAAGACAGAAACGAGCATTTTAAGAAACTAGCAATGCATGCAGCTACCTCACCGGAAAGGAGCACCTGTAATCCAAATTGTATAGAAACACGTTCATCTGAAGAGCCTTACTGAAATCATGCTGGTTCAGCATTTTCAGACCATATCTAAAGCTAGTTATTTTAACCCAGAAATGATTTCTTTGCTTCTCTGAGAGACTGGAGATCTGAGCCTGAGAACACAGTCATTTTCATGTTCTCTGCTGCACTTTTGTCTTCCCCAGACTGCAGTGGAAGGTGGAGCTAAAACATGTCATCTGCTCATTGAATAACATGGACATTTCTCCCTGTAACAAAACTAGATTACAAAACAAACAGCCTGGATTTGGATTGTTGCTGAGAAGGTGGTTTGCACCGAAAGTCTGCAGCAACATCAAACCCAGCGTCCAGAAACATCCTGTCTTCTCTCACCTGCAGTCCTCCAAATGTGCCATGGGCTAAACCTCAGCAATTCCAAGGTCAGGGAATCTCAGGAGGAGGTACAAGTTCCAGCATCCTCCCATCTTACTCTATACAGACCTAGAGGCATGAGCCCTTGTGGGCTAAAGTCAGCCCATTCTACAGTCAACATTTGTAAGCGTTCTTCCAGACACTCCCAAATGTTTCCAGGATATACATGTATTTGTGGTCATCTCAGCCCTGCCAAGACAAATATTCGATGGTTGACACGAACAACTGTAATGCTGAAACCTACCTCCAACAACAGGGTCTGTCAAACCCCACCATGTGCAGATGATTGTTCTGGCATTAGTAGAGGATCAAAACAGGTCTCAAGACAATTCAGTTGCCAGTCCTGCCACCAATCTGGTGCAATTGTAATTGCTCTTTGTGTCTCATTTGGAGATCCAGGTACTCATCTTAGGCAAGTTCTGCAAGATTTATACTTAAAAAAGGCTACAAAATGTTACTACTGAGTTGTACCCATGAGGAAGCAGCTAACAACTCCTACCACAACTCCTATCAATTAATCTTCTGTTTGCATGAGTTTCTATTAAAAAAAAAAAAAAAAGATAGATAACAACAGCTGTTCCACTGGAAGGGAACAGAATCTAAGGCTGCCATGTTTTTGGGATTGCTCCATTTGTAGAGATTCACATAGCTGCTTGAATGTACATTCATTATCACAGTAAAAAAAAAGTAGCAGTTTGCTCCAGTATGTCATTTAATGGGAGGATTCTCTGCATTGGGAGTTTAGTCTGTTTATGCAAGCTATGTGCACTGATGCAAGGGGTGGAAGAGGAGCAAATTCCCAGAATAAGAATTGTCTAAATATGTATTTTTTTCATGCATCATTGCAGATTTTTGCACGTGCCAGACCCACCAACTCTAACTATTCTTTGAAAAAAAGTAGACTATGAGATGTATAGAAACAGAAGAGATGGACCTGTTCTGCTTTTCCTTCTTCTTCTTCCACTTACAGCCAGACAAAAATACCCTGTGAAGAGCAACCTGCTCTTGTATCACTTGGTAATGACCATTATCCTTAATAAGAGTAAACATCAACACAGATGCAGTTTTTGCTCTGAGATTTGTCTCTTGAATTGCAGCCAACAGCCTCTCTCTGACAATGAGCTCCTCAACTCTCACATGGGAGAGGGTAATTAGAACTCTAGTTCTTGCAATTTAATTATACCCCTTGAAGAGGCAGTGTAAGAGTTTGTTAGAAAGACCAGAAGAGGAAAAAAAAAAAAAAAAAAGAAAAGAAAAAGAAGGAAAAAACACAAGAAAAACCCAAAACATAAAAAGCCACAAACCACCCCACAAAATCAGCACTCTACCACCCAGACCAAGACACTCCAGACAAGGCACCAGGCTGAGGAAACACTTATTTGAAGATGAGGTCAGTAATGTGCCCCAGCAGCCATCCTTGACGGCCTTGTGCTATTTCTATCCAGAGCAATTTGAACCCTTGCAGGTCCCTGTGCTACTGCTGAAGTGACCGCTGCTTTGTCTGCAGGCAGTCCTACAAAACATCACGCTTTGTCTCTGTGGAAAATCATCCAAAACTTCAACCTGTTTGAAATACCATAAAGGACCTAACCAGCAGCTGCCTCTGTGGTATTAAGGCCAAACCTCACATGGCATGATGGCACAGCTTCCTTCCACTCTTACACGCCACTCCCTCTTCCCATGAAACCATATGAAAACGCTCCTTTGCTGGAGAAGTGAAAGCAAAATGTGGCTTGTTAAAAAGAAATTATAAAATGCCAGATCCAAGTTGACCTAAGTAAGCAAGAAGTCTAAATAACAACAAAGACTGTGTGCACCCCAGGAATACTTCACCCCTTTCCATTTACATCCCTGCTTCCTCTACTGAGAGATAAGATGGAGCTGGCAGGAAGCCTGACAGTAGTGCTCCCTGTAAACCTCTTGTGGTCCCTTGCCAGTATTAGCATACATGAATAATCAGTTTCCACAGGCTGCCAGCTGTTACCAGGGGCAGGAGGTGGGTGAGGGGCTTACAAAGGAGATCTGACCTCCTTTGGTTCACCACCACCAAAGCCAGACCTGGATGCTCTGCCTGTGCAGGTCTGTCCACAAAGCAACCGTAAGTTCGTGGCCATAAGGACAGAGAAGTAGTGAGAGATACCAATGGCAGTCCCCAGTGGCAGAAGCAACCCAGGGAAAGGCCTTTGCAGCAATGTGGCAAAGTAATTTGGAGAGAGAAAGAACAAAAGACAAAGCTAGATGGGAGGAACACAAAATAAAACCCAGGAGTTTGGCCACACGAAGTATATATTGGCATCTAAATAAAGAACAAGTCCAAGCTGGATGGATCCTGAGTTAAGAGAGGTAGATGCACTGCCTGGATGTGGCAGTGAAAAACACCCTCCTTGGGGCAAATTTAAATATTGTCCTGCTAGGTCCTGAAAGCAGCAAGATAAGACCAAACATCCTCAGCATCTTCCTCTCTCACAAGCACAAATAAGATTGTCCACAGCTCCCTAATTAGTTCCCTTATCACGTAATGTTGCCCACTGGCTTCTCATCAAGAAGAGAAAACAGCCCTACAACCACATCAGCCTCTGGGGAGGAAGGATCTGGGATGACTGTCAAATCCCGTCTTACAAAGTGACAAAAATGCCATCCAAAAAAAGTTTACAGTTCCAGCTGCCAATGTAATAGCAGCATATGCATGCACTGTGTGGCCACCCCACTTCAATTCTACAGTGCTGGCATCTACTAACACTTTGTGACAAGGACTGGATCCAGCTTTCTTTTTCATCTGTATCTACAGTGTTTCCAGGCACAAGGGAAGTGATTAATAAAAACACTGACAACAACACTTTAAATAACCAGGTCAGTAAATCTGTCTGCACAAAAACTCTCTCAGTCCTCTATCAGCATATCACGTAACCACATGTGAACCACAGACCTCACAATCTGTAAACAGAGTTTATCTCTTCTATCTGTACGTCTCTCCATCTGAAAGATGGGTTGGAACTAGATGATCTTTAAGGTCCCTTCCAACCCGAACCATTCTATGAAATAGAGCCGAACAACCCACATAAGTTATGCTTCAGCAGACCCTTATATCACAGTTGCACCTGTAGACCCCAGCATGGTGGAGGCTGTGCTGTATCAGTGGCTGCACAGACACTATCATTGTCCCAACAGCTGGAAGAGATGAGACTGAGCAGGTAAGGGGGAGAACCAGGCTCTGAAAGCAGGGTGATAAG